CTCCAAGAAGGGGAAAGATGAAACATATCACCCAAACTATACTGGCTTGTTAGTTCTTTTGTATATTTGATAAGATGAAACAATATTAAAAAAAAAAAAGAGTGGGGCAAGAATGTGAGTTTAATTGACAAGTGTACAATATGTGTTATAAGTATATTTGTGATTACTTTGAAGGCACTAATTCCATTATTGGTTTGTGAAGCAAAGCATCTCTCCTTTTATAAAAGCAATCCACTCCAATATCCGACACCAAACCACCCTGTAAATCCATACTAACTATAAGACCCTGTTTGGTTTCACTTCCATAGAACGTTTCTTGATAATAGACAAAAAATAAGATTGAATCTTTAGTATATTCCGTATGTCAAAAAAAAAATGTTAATAAAATCCCCATACGATGTTTTTTGTTTGGTGTGTTTCTCTTTCTATATAAGTGTGTATGAATGTGTGTATAAATTAATTCAGCAAAATATATATAAATTAATTATTTAATTTATGTGATTTTGATTTTATTATAGTCTAATATTTTTTTGGGGACTAATTCACGGGGGTATCTGGCACTAACAACAATCGACTTAGGGTCCGTTTAGATTGACTTAGGGTCCGTTTATCGAATGATGCCAAGCTGAGATCCAATAAGGACCTGATTTATACCATACTTCCTCCAACTAAACTTTTAATCCCCTTATAAAGGACAGTTCTTTTTAAGAAAATCATTTAGTCTTAAGTCGAATAGCTTAAAAAGTGTTATTGAAATCAGACTAAACTGAATGATCGGACCAGTCAGATTGTTAACCAATATAAATCCATGTGAAATGGCTTGTTATTGTTTTAAACCATAGATGAGTCTGCATTTGTATTATTGTACGTGCTTTGGGTATTATTTATAGTTTTGTGACTCAAATGACACTAAACATTTTTATCTTTTTTTTTTCAATTATGAAATTATGAGTTTGAATTATCTGTGTGAGCTTCATTATATTGAGCCTGTAATGGTTAGATGATGTTTGTACCGTTTTAGTTTTACAATAATATCCTCTCTCCACTGGGGACGGGAAAATAACATAAATATAGTTAATAATTGAAGAAAAATAATATTACCAGTAAAAAAAATAACTGATTGATGCAAACATAATCATAGGAAATAAACCACTTTAACGTGTTGCGTTGAGCCACCTAAAATTCCAATGACGCTGTCAATTGCTCAATTTACCAAAGGGATCGATGGATTTAAGCCAAAGCCATAGAAATCAATTTTTTTTTAAAAAAAAGAAGACTAATATTAGGAATCAGGAACCTTTTTGGATCCTAACCTAAATTTAAAAAAGGAAACCCTAAAAAAAAAAATGCAATGATGCTTTTTCTTGGACAATAAGTTCAATGATGCGTCTTAAAATAATCTTATAATGATATGCCAGCACATGGTTTGACGTATGTGCTATTAAAGATGGCAATTAAAAAATTATACTGAAAAATTTTATCTTCTTTTAATCCCATTTGCACACATTGTGTTTTTGCATGTATATACTACCTTTCATTCTTAATATAAAACATCATTTTATTTTTATTTTGATTTTAAATATAAGACTCTAATTTAGTTTGTCTCTTATATTTATTTTTTTAAGATAGTTCTTATTATAATGGTAATTCTAGTCAATATACTTAATTAGTAAGGATATTTTAGGAAAAATAATACCTATTTGTTACAAATAACTAACTTAAGTAGTTTTTTTTAATATATTTAAATTAATCAATTAACTCTTATATTAAAGAACAAAGCTAGTATTACATGACGAAAAAGTTATAAATACTCATAATGATTGAAAGAAAATAAAGTGTATGGGCGGCATGTCTCAAAAAAAAAAATTAAGAAAATGGAATGAGAGAGAGTGCACTTGTTGATATCATGCGTGTTTATATTAAAATGTTGGCAAATTTTTTGTATTAATATATATATATCCTTTATTTAGGGATTATAATATCATATAATTGTATTCATAAGGGAAGAAATTAATGACAACTAATTTCACAAAACAATTTGTTTTTGTATTGAAAAATATTACTCATCTCATCTAGTCCTTAATATAAGACACAATTAAGTAATTTAATTAAATTAAGGATATTAGTTAAATTTCTTAACATAATATGTTTCTTCTAAAACACTCTAAGTATCTTTTTTAATTCCTTTCATCCCTCTCATATTTGATTATTGTTGATAAAATATTAATATGATTAATTTGAAAAAAATTAATACATATGAATTAGATTTTATATATATGACTCATATCAACTCTATAATTACGTTTTATATTAAGAATCGAAGGAGGAGGAGTAGTAGTGATTGGGGCTACAAAATTTAATCTAACTTATTCTCTTTAGAGACTTTATAATATTTATCTGATGTCCGGATTTTGAACTCGTATTTTAGATTTGGGGTATTTTGTGTCTTTCTCCCATGATAATTTAATTTATTTATTTAAAAAAACTGCTGGTAAATAAAAAAAAAGGAATAAATATCATGTCCAAGAGATCATAGCCCCAAAAAAGCACATTATTAACATTAATAATGATAAATTATGTTGCAATCCAACTCATGTTAGGCATTCCACCTTGCGTGTCTCCTCAACGTGACAACCATGCATAACACAATTATAAGTTTTGAATTTATAATATTTAATTAATTAAATTTGGACCAATGATATCGTAATTGTCTCCCTGAATTCTGACCCGAATTATAAATGAGAATCAAGTCAATAAAAACTATTCTGGCACAATGGAAACTAAATAAAAATAAATAAATCATAATCCTGAATTTCTGACTCATAATAGCCCTTGGTGCTCCATAATTGGCAAAGTAATAATTGAAATCCTATTGTTTATTATCAGCTTGTTCATGCGGTGAGAAGATAGAACACACACACATATATAATTATACTGCCTCCTATCCTTAATATAAGACCTTGTTTGATTTTTATTTTGGTCCTAAATATAAGACCTCATTCCATTTTGTCTCTCATATTTATACATTGTTTATTATCAGCTTGTTCGTGCTTAGAGAAGATATAACACACACACATATAATTATGTATAACAAAGTTGGTTATTTTAAAGACGTTTTCATGAAACTGTGTTAAAGAAAAAGTTTTTTTAGGTTATGTTGGAAGGTTTTTGGAATGTTGCACAAAAAAAAAATATCTTTAAATATATTTGAATTCAATAGGAGTCCATCTCATATTTGAATCCCCTTAATTGAGGCTAAATTGTGGGATATTAGCTATTAAATTGTGAATCTAATGGTATTGAAGGAGGAGTTAAGATTAAAATCTGCATTTATTTATTTGTAAATTAAATTTGTAATTACTCTTCAAACACTATTAAATCGCAACGTCTAATAACTCATCCCTCGTTCCTGGTTAAAAAAAAAGAAAAAGAAAAATAGTAATAACAACTCATCCCTCTTTGTACCAACAAAAAAAAAAAAAAAACTCATCCCTCATGGAATAAGCCTCAATTAAAGGGATTCAAATCTGTTTATCTCAATCATCCATTTACAGCTCATAATTAATCTCAATCATATATATGTGTGTCCACATACTCTCTTAATCTATTTATAATGTAGGGAGAGAATATTATTATCATTGGCCATATTTATAAATCACAAATGTGTAAAAAAATTTGTGAACATTATTGTGCGCAGTAGATTGTTATTTTCTCAAAAAATGTACGTATAAATATGAAGACATTGAACATTTGTTAAGTTTTAAAGCAAGTTTAAATGAATTTTAAGTTTCTTTTTCTTAACTGTAAATATACAGTTAAGATGTGACTTATAAATAGAATTCGAAAAAGAGGCGAAGAGATACGATATTGTATTATACATCCACTTTCACTATCTCTCACACAAGATCCCTAATGACACGTGTGGATATCTATACACCATCTACCGTAGGATGCATCTACAAGGAAGCTAATCTTTAGAAAAATATACTACCTCCGATCCTAATTATAAGAGCTAATTGATTACTTTGAGAAGATTAAAGAAATAAATTAAGTTAGTTATTTGTAATAAATAAGTGTTGTCTTTCCTAAAATATCCTTGCTAATCAAGTATGTTGGTTATAAATATCATTATTAGAAAGACTATTTTAGAAAAAAAAAATACAACTTTGAGTTATCAAAACATTTATTTATGGTTCTGAAACTCAGATGGGAGCTATCAAAACATGATCATACAAGCATGTATGAACTTACGTAATCTTTATGAAATGTTTAACTTTGAGTCAAAATTAAGAACAATATATTTTCTTTATTAAAAAACAACATTTCCTTTCTGAAAATTAAAAAAGAAAAAAAGAGAGAGAAGAAGATTATTTATCATGGGTAAATTTTACAAAAATGAAGCAATGAAGTCTAGGTCTCGTTACAGCACGCGAGTTCTGAACTTTGAATCCCCCAAGTTTGACGGACTTTGTCCAGTCGGCTACTCGGTAAGACCACTTCTCATTTCTCAATTATATATTTATATATTTTTTATTTTTAGGAAATAAAAACGACAAATTCTAAAAGATTCTTAAATATGTTCCGACCAATCCAAAATACCCGAAAAGACCTTCAAGTCAAAGAGTGTCTCCTCCGACCTTTTTTACCTGCTCCCAGACAGACGCATTCCCCAAAATGGTTGAAAGTAAAAACTTGAAAATAAATTAAAAAAATTACACGTCATAAGATAAATGGCTTCAGTATTTGTAAAGCAAGTCACAGGTTGGGACCCACCAGTCGAGAGAATTTCCCTTCGACAAGCAAAGCTATAATATTGTTCTCATGGCAAACTGGCAAAATTCCATGGGAGCCCTATCCTCCCCATCCCCAATCCCATCCAAGCCGCACAATCCAACCTTTGCTTTTTTACGATTCCTCTCTCCCTCCCCCCCCCTCTCTCTCTCTTCAAGACTGTGGTACAAATGTTGTTCCTTTAATTTAATGCTTCTTTTCTGCAATAAATAATAACCAAAAAAGCAACCCAGAAAAAACAATAAAAGAATTTGTCACCGTCACGCGCTGTAACCAGCGAATACGATGCCAACAGCAATATACTACTTCCCCAGTCCCCACTTCAAGCCTCTCTCTCTCTCTCTCTGATTCTCTGGACATTCCACCGCACTTTCTCTCTCTCTTCCTTTCAGCTTTTGGTCTTTGCGGGGCTCAACTATCTTACGCGTCCACCGCGCTCCTTGCCTTCTTTATTTCTCCAGAACTTGTTGCCTTCTTCTGCTTCTTCTTCTTCAGCCTTGTCGTCTCCCAGATCTGTGTATTTCGCGTCTTGCCCAATCCTTCTTCTTCTTCTACTGCTACTTAAAGCTTGGATTTTTAACTCTTTCTCTGTGACTCGGAGAAGATTCAGAAAATGATGGACCCTGGGCAACGCCGGAAGAGGAAGCGTGTCGGTACTGGCGCTTTCTCCCTGACCCACTACTTCTCCTTGAGGTCCCTTTTTCTCTGCTCCTCCTTCTTCGTCTTCCTCTTCTTCTTATCCTCCGATCGCTTCTCTATTTCTTCGTCACCTTTTCGCCCCGCCATTATCACATCTCCCTTATCACTTTTGTCCTCTTCTGCAAGTCGCTCGGTTCTAGCCTCTTCTGACCCCAAATTGCTCCCCTTGAGAGTTGAAGATCGGATTGTTTTCCCTGACCATGTGGTTTTGATGGTAAGCAACAAAATTCTCCGGCGGAGCCAAGATTTGGAGTGTATATACTACAAGCTCTTCAACGGTTCCTCTGACGAAGGCAGTAACCAGCTCGCCGATATTCAAACTCAGTCCGTGCTGTCCACCGACGACTACGATGAGTTCAGATCCATTGTGAGGTGCCCAATTCCTCAGATGAGCTATTCAGCCGCCGCCGTGGATTTGCGCCAGCGTGGCGAGGTGGGTCGCCGGGATTGGGACTCGCTGGTGAACCAGACTGCTCAGTCATGGGACAAGGTAGCGTATGAAGCGATTTTGGATGGGAACACCACCGTTGTATTTGTTAAAGGATTGAATCTTCGACCCCACAAGATATCAGATCCGACCAAGTTCCTCTGCCACTTTGGGTTGAAGAATTTGGGCAAAGAAAACAACTTTCTGCTCACAACCAAAGCAGTTTCAGTTGCTCAAGAAGTGGTGAGATGTTTACTGCCAAGAGGTATCAGAAACAGCCCAGATAAGGCTCAGGGAATTCGGGTTACCGTCAGCCATTTGAGCGGCCACATAAGGCGCCCGGTTCGCGAGCTTTTGCCTTCTGTGGCAAGAGTTCGAAGCTCAAGTCCTCAAGCTCAGAAGAGAAAAGGAAAGACAAAGAAACATGAGCTTTGTGCTTGCACTATGGTGTGGAACCAGGCATCTGCGCTAAGAGAATGGATTATGTACCATTCCTGGCTTGGAGTTGAACGATGGTTCATCTACGACAACAACAGTGATGATGATATAGAGAAGGTGATTCATGAACTTGACCTGCAAGGGTATAATGTTAGTAGGCAAACCTGGCCATGGATTAAGACTCAGGAAGCAGGCTTTTCTCACTGTGCTTTGAGAGCAAGAGATGAGTGCAAATGGGTCGGATTCTTCGATGTTGATGAGTTCTTTTACTTCCCCAATGAATTTCATCACCAGTTCGGGCATGATGTTCCTGGTGAGAACTCACTCAAATCTGTGGTAGCAAACTTGTCATCCTCAAAAATTGCAGAGATAAGAACAGCTTGTCATAGCTTTGGTCCTTCTGGGTTGCGCTCGCCACCTAAAAGAGGAGTGACTATAGGGTACACATGCAGGCTTCAGAGCCCTGAGAGACACAAGTCAATAGTGAGGCCAGATTTGCTTGACACTAGTCTTCTGAATGTGGTGCACCATTTTCAGCTGAGGAATGGGTACAAATATCAGAACATGCCTGAGAGTACTGCTATAATAAACCACTACAAGTATCAGGTGTGGGAGACCTTCAAGGCTAAGTTCTTCAGAAGGGTTGCTACCTATGTTGTTGACTGGCAAGAAGACCAAAACAAAGGATCAAAAGATAGAGCACCAGGGCTGGGAACAGAAGCCATTGAACCACCTAACTGGAGGCTGCAGTTTTGTGAGGTTTGGGATACTGGCTTGAAGGACTTCCTTTTGTCACGTTTTGCTGAGCCTGTAACAGGGGTTCTACCCTGGGAAAGGTCATTCCTATAAATATGGGGACATTATTCTATCAGGGTCACCAGGCACCCTTGTAAAGCACAATAACCATAGCCGTAGGCATTCATTCTTTTCATTGTTTTTGGGGGGGATTCTAGGTAACAGAAATTTTGTTTTCTTCTTTCCCCTCTCTTGTTTAATGATTTCTATAAACATGAAAACATACTTCACAGGGCTCACACGGTTGTATATTAGCAGCAATATGAATGGATTCCTGTATTTTCACTTTTAATTCATTCTTCTCCAGTTGAATGATCTGTGTTTGTTTCCTGTCATGTCATCCATTAGCTCTGACATTTTCAAGCCGGCAAAAACATGATTATTATCAATGATTGAACTAACATAATTACGATAATGCTCTGAAGCAAAACAAGATTGGTACTCAGTCAAAGTTCTTTTCTGCGCACCTCGAGGATTTCTATCATTTGACAAACCTAGAGGTGTCGAAAGACATGTGCAGAAAACAACGAAAACACAAGTTTTCACGTTAATTCACTCATGCACGGAACTTGTCAAGGACTCAAGGTTAATATTTTTTAGAGAGAATAATAGGCGGATGGTCAGCGAAAAAAATCAAAAGCCGAAGAGCAACAGGTGCTACAACATTTCTAGAAAGTGTATACTATCCCCTTTAATTTCGGAACTTGGAATGCGGATGCTCTTCAAGGTAGTGGTAGTTTGGCTGAAGGTATATTATTGGTAAATATGCTATTTAACAACCTAAAACATTCAATCCCAACTTCATTATATTGCAGGGAAACGACCGACAGAACATGATAAAGTTCTAAATTTTCAGTATACTGAGCAACCGTAACATAATGGATTAGATGTAGACATAACGGTTTCTAGAAACCACAAACCTTGGATGTCACTGTATTAGCTCTAGTTCTTAATGCAAGACTTAATTAACTAATTTAAAGAGATTAAAAAAAATTAAATTAGTTATTTATAATAAATAAGTATTGTTTTTCCTACAATATCGTGTTGCTAATCATATTTATTGATTAAAACTATCAGTTGATATAACTTTTAACATGTACAACTACTACAATGATTATTTCTAAAAAAATAAATAAGTATTAAAAACAAAATGGTAGAATATTATGAATTAAAAATCAAATTAACTCTTGTACTAAAGATCGTCTTACTATATATGAATACTACGAATGATTTACAAATCATAGTAGAACTGCCTTGTGTTTTTGTGCGCGCACGCGCGCCAGAGAGAGTAGTGCTTTGTTTTTTTTTTTTTTTTTGAGGGATCTGTTAATGTGTATGGGTCAATTTGACCCTCCCAATGGCAACGAAATCAACTGAAATATTTACGATAGATGGACGGTAAAATCTAATATAATCAAAATATCATAGGTTACATCGCATGCTTTTCCCCCTAAATTCAATACCTTCTAACGTCTTCAAATTGAATCTTGTGAAGTAAGTTGAAGCTGCCTCGCATGTTTTGCAAGGGTAGAATCCAGCTTTTCTCCAATAAGAGTAATCCATGCCTGTAATCATTTTAATATTTACGTCACCAACCCACATAGTATACATGCAAGTTACTGAGTTTGATCACTGGGGTATATGTTATGGGCATTAATTATGTGCAAAACCTAAAAATTGTACTGATAGCATTGTCATGTCTTGGAGACGGAGAATTTGAACCTTGACATCCTCAAGAACCATAATTCTATAATCCTAAATTTTTTGGATTTCAAGCATTAAGATGTTAAATTTAACACCATAGCATGTCGCATTTTGACAAATGTTAAATTTAACACCAACACAAAGATGAGAGCAATTTGACAAATTTATATCACCTCCTGGTCTATTTATTTTAAAAAATTTGTAGTTAAATTTTAAATATAAGTTGTTTCTTATAAATCAATCCGGAGGCATTATATCCTAAAAATGAGGACATAAATGTTATGCAACTATACCTGGTCAGAAGTAGTGAAACCTCGTATTGTGTCACCACCAATAATTGCAATTCCTTTGTCTCCAAGTGGTTGCAAAATTACTGCCTAGAAACATAATAATTGTGTTGGTAAAAAATTGTAAAAAAGTTACTATATAATTTTAAATAAAAATAAAATAATTATGAGATGAAAAATATTTGCAGTGTGCATATATTTATCATCCAGTTGCCCACTGGCATTCTCTTCCTAATGCTTATGCATAAATCATAGCTTAGAAACAAGACTTGATTTAAAAAAATGAAAAATTTTTGAAAACCATAACTCGTTTGAACTATTTAGGCTATCAATTTTATGGGTTTTGACTAGTTCATGATTGACTACACTGATAGATTTTTGTTCGTTTTTCTTTGCTTGTTTCTTCCTCGGGCATCCATACTAATGACAAGTGTGACATTTTTTTTTTCTTTTTTTGGTGTTTCGAAGGTGGGTGGGGAATTTTTGACAACCAAAGAATTTTCTAATGCCAAAGTATAGCTGAAGCCATTGAACTCGACATTTTCTCCACATCGCCTAGTCGAATTCAATTAAAGGGATCAGCTCCCAGAAAATCAAGTAAGCTTCTTGTCAAACTAATGAGAGACAAGTGATTATATATACTGATTCCTAAACATCTACTATTTTTTATTTTTTTTAAAAAAAAAATTTCGTGTTCGAGAAATACCTTGAATATCTGTTTAACATTTAGACAGACACAATTTAAAAGGACTCGCATGGAAATCTCTCAAGTTAAGAGAAAAGGCAGTGGAGTGGCAGACGTTAATATATAAACATGATACCTGAGTGTTTGAAGGCAAAAATGGCAGCTCAGATTTCCCAGGATAAAGAGATAGGTTAGCCAAGTAACTCTCTGCACATTTAGATAAGACTTGGTTAAAATTCACATTAACATGCATCTCCCTGAATTACGATTGACTTGTCTAGCTGTCAACTATTATATAAAATAAAGAGTTAACGAAGGTTCAGTGTTTTAAACATACGAGCCCCAGATTTTATAACACCCTGATATAATGTTCCTCGCATTAATTTATCGGCATCCACATTAACGGCCTCCCCCTTCCTAGAAGAAGCTTCTGCTGCGCAACCAATTTGAAGCACACAAACGTTTTCATAAACAATAACAAGTGATCTGCAGCGTGTGACATCTGATAGAGATTCCCACACCCTAAGAATAGAGGACCAAATAAACCATTAGTAAAGGAAGCAGTAAAGCAATAAATCCTTGCTTGTACATGAATTTATATCCTAGTCCATAAATCAAGATGATTTTTTTGGCTTCAAGTCATATCGACACTGTTATCATCACATGTAGAAGACCTTGCTATAATTTCTAATGACATGAATACAAAGTATGTAAAAGCATCACACATCATTGCATAAACTACAGTTTTTTTACTCATTCATCATCATTTCCAAATTGGAATTTCAAATTATAAGAGATATGAAGTCTAAGACGCAATGTTGGATTTAACTTCTAGAGATGAAGAATGCACTGGAGTCAACAGGAGGAAGGATGAATGCGAATAAAGTTGACAGGCGAATATAATGTACATTACCAGAGCAGCTCAGTAACTGCATAGTCAGGGAGAGGACTACACACCCTCTTACATTCAACTCCTTGGGGATCTACCTATATAAGAATAATAGGAAGAAAAGTTTTGAATAAAAACTAAGAAATATAAGAATTTAGTCAAGAAGAGGGAAGGGAGCGCTTCAACTTAAGATGCAAGGAGCTCACCGTAGCAATAGATTTTGGTCTTATAGACAGCCATACCAGACCAGTTAAGACATTGGTGACAGCCAATGCTACAGTCAAGAGGTCCGCTCTAGATTGTGAACTGCAGCAGGGTATCAATTTCTTAAGTGTTAATTAGAACAAGCAACTCAAAGATCTCACTATGTACATGATCTGTTACAATACTTCCACCAAGGTAGTTAAGCCTTTCAACCTTCGGTAACAGAACATCCCACAACCCGCTATATCACGCAATCAAAGATTAGCAGCTTTGCCAATATTACATGTCATTGCGACTCACCTTACACTAGCAACATTAGGAAATAACTTACCTAAGTACAGTTATTCCATTTTAATCCTTAAAGATTAATAGGCTACAATGCTGAATTTTAAATTCCAAGCATGGATGGATTAGGATGTAAATGGTGGTCTGGTTTTGAATTATGAGATTTCAACATTGTAGTTTAAAGGCAGAGGCGGCAATAGGCCGTCGATAGTTAAATATCAAGTGACAAAATGAAGATGGAGTTAATTTAATATGTACTTTCACTGTATGATGAAGAATGCAAAAAAGGAAGAAAAATGGATTTGCTTGTAGAAAGTGGGAACCACGTTTTACAGTTTATCAATGCAAATTTTGTCTCCATTAGTCCGAATTATCCAATGCTATATTTTGTTTTCTTCTCAAAGGAAAACACGTGGTGTAACTCCCAGCAAACTAATTCAAGCAATACAACTTTACCATACCAATAAAGATTGCGGCAATCTTACATGACAACGCAAACTACAAAGCCCCAGTAGAAATTAAACTGAATTGTAAACGAAAAACATTAAGCTAGAGCTCAACAGTCTACTTGCTCGAAATTCCAAAATATAAAATATATATATATATATATATATGTAAATGTGTGTGTGTGTGTGTGTGTAAATGGGAACCTGCTAGCATCAGCAACAGGAGCGATGCCATAAAGGGCGCGATTAAAGAGAACGACCAAGAGGGAAGCGGCGCCAATGTAGATGGGTAAAGTACGAACAGTGTCGTCATTCTGGGAGACCCAATCGGCGATCCAGTCTCGTTTGGGCTTGGGCACTCTGTAATTAGGTTTGGAATTCGTGATTGGAGAATGGGAAGAAGAAGACGACGAGGATGAAACCCCGAAGTGGAACGAGAAAATTGGAGGAAGAGAAGGAAATGATGAGGATTTTGCGGCGGGTCGAAACGAAGTGCTAGTAAGGAATCGACACTTGAGGAGACTTCCCGCTTCCATCGAAGTCATGAGCTTCGCATTTCCAAATGCTGGCAGCAAACGGATAAACCGCCCTTTTGCCTTCTCTGCTTTGAGGGAGAAAATGAACTGAAAATCATTTATATTAAGAATCAATTGCCGCATGCCATATTTTTAATATAAAAACTAATTAAATAATTTGAGTAAATTAAAAAAATTATTTAAATTAATTATTTATAACAAATAAGTATTTTTTCTCTAAAATATCGTTATTAATTATATGTATTAAGTAAAATTATAATTTAATGAAACTTTTAATACATATGATTACTACACGAACTACTTTAAAAAAAAAGATAAATATGATAGACAAAGTGGATTGAAACCTTATATTTACAATCAAATTGAAAATCAGACTAACTCTTATATTTAGGACTGGAGATAATATAATAGGTAGAAATTAACTTGTTAAAATTTAAAAGGAAAAAAATTAAGCTTTTGATCCATATTTTTTTAATTTTGTTGTAACTCAATCTCTAAACCATAAACTAATAAAATTATGACTCTATACAACTCAATTCTTATAATTTTAATTATTTAAAGTTTTAGTTAATATATTTAGAAAAATAAATATATATTTTATGAAATTTACGAATTAAAATTTTAAATTGTTTAAACTACAAGAATTAAATTACATCAAGTCAAAATTAAAGAACTATGTTACATAAGTTTTCTTAAAGCACTAAGTTATACTAAGTTAAAGTTTATGAATTATGTTACAAAAAAGTCAAAATTATAGAATAAAAAAATAATATTCCCAAATTCAAAAACAGTTTAAGTGCACAAATTTTACTTGTTATCTTTTAGGGTAACTTTAAATGGGACTAAAGATTCGGACGCATAATTATACTTTCATTTTTTAAACAGCAACTTTCACAAATCACAACATCTTTTAAGCAATATCGGTTATAAAGCATTTGAATTAGCACGCTAAGCATTGATTGATGTACATCTTTTTTTTGGGCAACAATTGATGTACATCCATTCTTATTAAACTCTTCTCTAAATATTTTAGAAACCAAAAGACTCTTTAACATAAAATTCATTTGAAGTTAAAGGTAATCTGTTCGGCAAAAAGTAATATTGTAACAATTTTGATATTTGAAGGCAGGATTTAAATAATTCAGGATACACAATATTTAGAGCTCATTGCCTTGCAAAGGAGTTAAAAGGCAAAAATGTCAGTTTATCGTTCAAGATCAGTTTTTTTGGTGGAGTGAGACAAAATGATACTAAGAAAACAAGAGATTTACGACCTATGGTAATAAAAAGTACAAATAGAATTTTAAAAAAAAAAGTATAACAAAAGACGATAATATTACTGTTGATAGAGATGTATTATAAAAATTAAAAATCGTGTAGCAAAGAGAAAGGCCCTGTTTGTTGTTGTTCTTTGTTTTCTTATTTTCAAAACAATTTTATAAAATTGTTTTTAAGAACAAGTTTTGGAAACAAAAAACAAAAAAATTGTTTGGAAAATAATTTTAAAAAATCAAATTTAAAAATAAAAAATTACACTTTGACAAGTGGTAGTTATTACCGGTAGTGATAAGTAGTAGGTAATAGAGGAGAAGAGAAGAAGATTTCTCTAATTTTTCAAAACAAAAAAAATAAAAAACACAAAAACAAAAACAAGAAAACATGTAAAAGTTGTTTTGGTTTTTCAGTTTTTAAAAAAATATTTTTATTTTTTTGTTTTTTTAAAACAATCAACTAAAAACAAATTGCCAAACAAATTTTTTTGTTTTTCTATTTTTAAAAACAAAAAATTGTTTTCAAAACAAGAAACCAAACAAGTCCTAAATCTCTTGCCAGGTCATGAAAGACATTTGAGCAAGAATCAACGAGAATACGGATAAAAGACTTCTAAACACAGTAAATAGTAAGTGTTACCGATAACTAGCCGTTGACAACATCCTTTGTACTTATATTTTGTATCAAATAGGTTAAAGTTGTGCTAAGTTTAAATTTGAAATTTCATCTAAGCGTGACGGGTAGCATTGCCACTAGGATAATTATTAGCCATTGACAACATCATTTATACCTATGTCTTAGCCATAAAACAGAGGACCTTGCCACCATCATCAAACATGTGGCACAAGCTGAGGAAGCTGCTGCTTTGTCTACTAATTTTAGTTATATTTAATTAAATTTGAATGCTAACTTGAACAAAGTTAATCACAATGCATTGCATTTAGGTGCTAGTTTGCAGGTTGGAAATGTGTATGGTTGAACTATTTAGAAGAAACATACTTGATTGGAGGTGGGTTACAACAATGAGTTTTCAGTATAAATTAAAACAAATCATATGAAAATGAGAACGAAACAATCATATAATTTCCCACAATACAGAGCAAGCAGCGAAAAGACATAAATCGAATTACTTCTTTACCGGTTAAATGATTTGAAACTGTAATCAATAAATCTCTCAATTTGAAATTAGGAATAACATCACTGGGAAAAGGTCGCAAGGGACTCTCATGACTTGGGTCAATTAAATTTTCTTAGAGCCCGTTTAAAATGATTTATGAGAAGTTTTTCAATCATAGTTTACAAAATATGAGATAAATATATGAGAAAAATTTTATCTCAACTTACATAAAACATGCTTATAAGTTCGTGATTCCAAACGAGGACTTCTATGTCACCCTTATTCAGTCTGTCATTATATTAGGAATACTACTCTGTCCTTTATTATAAGATCTTTTTAACTAAATTATGTGATTTAAGAAAACAGTTAAAATTAGTTAAAAGCAATTAATATGTAGCAAATGCAATTTTTTTCAAATATACCCCTATATATAAATGGATAGATGTGAGAGAGTAATAGTGAGATAAATGAAGAAAAAGAATGCATTAAATGCATTAAACTAGGGATAAAATACGTAATAATACATTAAATGTTCAGACAAACTCAAAAAAAATCTTATAAAAAGAAACAAACCTATTTAAAAAATTAGACATTATAATAAGGACGGAGAGAGTAACTTATTAAGATCATTAACTAACTCATTAATTACTTTAACAATGACTAAGCAAATATTGAAACCTAAATTAGGCCCAGATTGACTAATAGACTGCCCCAAAGCATTTAGATTATATTACTAATAATATAATATAATAATTAAAATAGCTAACATTCAATACTTGGAATTGAACGAAAACGCTAGTTTTGAGTTATAATGAATGCTCATCCAACTTTTGTCCCTCCCTGTCATCCCAAACACAAGTATAAACTGAGTTTGAGTTATAATAATAATTATTTAAGTCATAGTCTTTAATCTTTGTAAATTAGAAGTTTTAGGCATTTTTGGTTTATACTTATAGTTTTGTTGAATTATTATATTAGTATTATACCTATTTATTATAAATTATTAATTATCCTTACGGACCCTCATAATAATTATTCTAAAGCAACTGCATATTTATCTAAACATGTGCTTTTCTAGATTTTAGGAATAAATTAGTTAATTTTTATTTTCTCTAGACAATCTTATTTTTCTCTTCTTTATATCTCATTAGAAGTAAATTCCTTTGTTTTTTTAGTTACAAAGATGTCATGTTTCATTTGTTTCATATCTATTATTAGGGAAGAACCAACACAATTTTTCTTAGAGAAAATTAGAGAGAAGAACACATAGAGAATAATATTTACTGAATAGAACCATAAAAATTGTAATTATTTATGAAGACCAAATATCAAAATATAAAATTAAACATACTAAATTGCCCCTCACTAAACCTCCAACATTCTAGCCTCCAGTCTCTCCCACATCTTATTTTGAAAATAATATGAAATTTATTTTCCCCCAAAATTAAAAATGTTAATCATCCACCACAGGATTTTTTTTAACTTTTATTTTCCATTAAGATTCACATAATTATATCATCAATATATCATGTAATTATCAACATATATGTATTTATCTCTTTATATCATTAAGTTATTTTTCTTGATTTATATCATCTAACATAAAATAAACAAAAAATTAAGCACATTTTATATCTTATCAAAACAAGTTGTGTACGTTCAAATGAAGAAAATAAAATGTTGCACAGATGATGTCAAAAATTGAAACATCATAATATATTAATAAAAAATTGAAATAATCTCAATATCAATTTAAGATTTATAAAATGTAAAATTATGAACAAATTAATGTAAATCTGATGAGATTATGAGAAATGAGTCTTATTATTTATAATATATAGTTTTATAAATAGATAGATGGTGTGCTTTGTTAGAATTTTATATTATATATATGTATTATGAGACTCACTCCTAAAAATCATCATTTAACAAAACTAAACCATCCTCTTTTTAAATTTTTGAAAAACAAAAGCCATCTAATTCCCACACACAAAAATATTATGTTTAAATAAAAAATAAATTATAAAAATTCCTCTTTTTTTTGTGAAATTATAAAAGTTCCTTTAAATTGTTTGAAATTGTATGTTTTTTAATTATATATATATATATATATATAACCTTCTTTTAATATATACACACACATACATCTATATACTAAATTATAAAAGATTTCAATTTTTCTTAAAATTATATCATTTTTATTTTCAATTAAAGTTTGCATCGATTTGAAAAATAAAATTGTAATTTTGACAAAATTGAACAATGTTTATGTTATTATTCCAACTAGTATAGTACCCGTGCATTGCACAAGTATGAATTGGTGATCTTTTATGTGGTATAAAAAGTTGAATCATGGCAAAATAATCAGTTGAATATCACATTTCTACTTCAAGTCATAATTTCAACTTAATTTTAAAAATAAAGTATTCATAAATTTTCAAAACATGCAATACATATAGATTTATTATCAACATTTTTTAGAATATGTGATGTACGTGTGTAAATGTATGTTCCTTTAAAAAGATTGAATTAAAAGAGACAAAAAGGATAATGAGTTGAAACTCATACATTTGATTAATTATGTAGGATAATGCCATAGTCAATAATTACATATCAGACAAATATGGTACCTTATTCTATATTATGAAAGTAGGGTATGTAATATAAGAAAAATTATCAGAGATAAAATGGTTAGCGAAATAAAACTCACATATTTGATTCAACAATTACACAG